ATAACAGGTACCATAACAACTGGAGGACAAAAAATTATAGTCGTAGTCATATATAATCCACCACCAAATGACAGAAGACCCAGACAGGAATATGATAGAAACAACATGGCCACCATTAACATAAAAGAGAGAGCAGCTTCTGTTGCTAGCAGGAATGGATCTGGACTACTAATCATGGGTGTCTTCAACCATGGGAAGATAGATTGGAAGAACAGAGCTCTGCATGGAGGACCAGAAACATGGAGAGCTAAGCTGCTGCACGTGGCAACAAGACACTTTCTAAGCCAGCACATCAAGGAACCAACAAGAATGAGAGGAGAAGATGAACCAGCAATGCTTGATTTGATATTTATCCTAAATGAGTGGGATATAAGGGAAGTTAAGATGGAAGCGCCCTTGGGAATGAGTGACCACAGTGTATTGAACTTTGAGTACCTGGTAGAGCTAGGACTTATCTCCCCCCAAAAAAAAAACTAGGAAACAAAAGGCTGGCATACCGAAAGGGGAATTATGAACAGATGAGAAGTTTCCTAAGTGAAATACCTTGGGACACAGACCTCAGAGATAAGTCTGTGCAAAATATGATGGACTATGTTACCCAAAAGGGTCAGGAGGCAGTAAACAGGTTCATCCCGGCCCAAAGGGAAAATCCGAGAAGCAACAGAAGAATTCATGGTATAATAGGGCATGTATGGAAGCAAAGAAACTGAACAAAAGGGCATGGAGGAACTTCCGGAATAACAGAACACCAGAAAGCAGAGAGAGATACCAGAGAACCAGGAATGAGTATGTCAGGGTGAGAAGAGAAGCAGAGAAAAGTTATGAAAATGATATAGCAAATAAAGCCAGGATCGAACCAACGCTACTCCACAGTCACATCAGAAGGAAAACAACAGTGAAAGAACAGGCATTGAAACTTACAACATGCGAGGACAGGTATACAGAGAATGACAAAGAGGTGTGTGAAGAACTCAACAAGAGGTTCCATAAGGTCTTCACAATAGAACAAGGTGAGGTCACTGTGCTAGGAGAAAGGGAAGTAAACAAGGAGGCCTTGGAAGGGTTCGAAATTACGAGAGAGGAGGTCAAGAGACACCTGCTGGATCTGGATGTTAGAAAAGCTGTTGGTCCAGACCGGATCTCGCCATGGGTACTGAAAGAGTGTGCAGGAGCGCTTTGCTTGCCACTCTCCATAGTGTATAGTAGGTCACTGGAAACGGGAGACCTACCAGAAATATGGAAGACGGCGAATGTGGTCCCAATATACAAAAAGGGTGACAGACAAGAGGCACTGAACTACAGGCCAGTGTCCTTAACTTGTATACCATGCAAGGTGATGGAGAAGATTGTGAGAAAAACCTAGTAACACATCTGGAGAGAAGAGACTTCGTGACAACCCATCAACATGGGTTCAGGGAGGGTAAATCTTGCCTTACAAACATAATAGAATTCTATGATCAGGTGACAAAGATTAAGCAAGAAAGAGAAGGATGGGCGGACTGCAATTTTTGGACTGTCGGAAAGCCTTTGACACAGTACCCCATAAAAGGTTGATGCATAAGCTGCAGAAACAGGTAGGAGTAACTGGTAGGGCGCTCCAGTGGATAAGGGAGTACCTAAGCAATAGGAAGCAGAAAGTTACAGTGAGGGGTGAGACCTCAGACTGGCGTGAAGTCACCAGTGGAGTCCCACAGGGCTCTGTACTCGGACCTATCCTGTTTCTGATATCCGTAAATGATCTCCCAGAGGAAATAGACTCATTCCTCTCAATGTTTGCTGACGACACCAAAATTATGAGAAGGATTAAGACAGAGGAGGACAGCCTGAGGCTTCAAGAAGACCTGGACAAGCTGCAGGAATGGTCAAACAAATGGTTGTTAGAGTTTAACCCAAGCAAATGCAATGTAATGAAGATAGGTGTAGGTAGCAGAAGACCAGGTACAAGGTATCATTTGGAAGATGAAATACTTCAAGAGTCAGAGAGAAAGACCTGGGGGTTGATATCACACAAGTCCTATCCCCTGAAGCTCATATCAAGAGGATAACATCAGCGGCATATGCCAAGTTGGCTAACATAAGAACGACCTTTAGAAACTTATGAAAGGAATCTTTCCGAACTTTGTATACCACATATGTCAGACCAATTCTGAAGCATGCGGCTCCAGCATGGAGTCCATATCTAATCAAGCATAAGACTAAACTGGAAAAGGTTCAAAAGTTTTCCACCAGGCTATTACCCGAGCTGAGGGGTATGAACTACGACGAGAGACTACGGGAATTAAACCTCACGTCACTGGGAAACAGAAGAGTTAGAGGGGGACATGATCACCCACATACAAGATTCTCAGAGGAATTGATAGGGTAGATAGAGACAGGGTATTTACCACAAGGGGCACACGCACTAGGGGACACAGGTGGAAATTGAGTGCCCAAATGAGCCATAGAGACGTTAGAAAGAATTTTTTCAGAGTGAGAGTAGTAGACAAATGGAATGCATTAGGAAGTGATGTGGTGGAGGCTGACTCCATACACAGCTTCAAGTGTACATATACTAGAGCCAAAGAGCCAGAGCTCAACCCCTGCAATCACAATTAGGTAAGTATACACATACACACACGGGGATCTTGTGGCTGTGTGGATAGTATGCTGGCACGTAATCCTGTGGTCCGGGTTCGATTCCCGGCACTGGCGATAAAAAAAATGGGCAGAGTTTCTTTCACCCTGATTCTCCTGTTACCTAGCAGTAAACAGGTACCTGGGAGATAGAGAACTGTTACGGAGCTGCTTCCTGTGTGTGTGTGAAAAAACTTGATTTATTGACAGTTAAGAGGCGGGACCAAGGAGCCAGAGCGCAACCCCCGCAAGCACATCTAGGTGAATACACTTCCTGCGACGCAAAATGTGAATGGATTTTGTTGAACATGTATAGAATAAGGTCACCAGCGGGGGAGTAAGTGCCGCCAAGACCGGGGCCAGAGGCACGGGTCCGGCCAGTGACGTCACCATTCATTGCTTCAATTCTCATGACGTCATGACCATATTCTCATGACGTCATGACCATATTCTCATGACGTCATGACCATATTCTCATGACGTCATGACCATATTCTCATGACGTCATGACCATATTCTCATGACGTCATGACCATATTCTCATGACGTCATGACCATATTCTCATGACGTCATGACCATATTCTCATGACGTCATGACCATATTCTCATGACGTCATGACCATATTCGTTCAGACTGGAGCTTAAAGGTCTCCATGCACCAGTTAGCACGAGACAGGTGCACTATGCACCACTCACAGTCGGGATCCCGGGTGTGAATCCCGGGACAGAAATGGTTGGGTGCGTTTCCTGTCACCAAGTGCATCTGTCCACCTCGCAGTAAACAAGTACCCGGGAGATACCCAACTGTTGTGGGGTTGCCTCCTGGGGTGAGTTGGTAGTTCCACATTTGGGCGACCTCGATATAATCCTAGCGTGTATATGAAGTCTACCTGTCCCCCAATGTTATGAATTATTATGATTTATTATATATTGTGTCGTCAATATTAATATTATTTTAATGAAAACTGTGATTGTTATTCTTCGTTCTACTTCTGTTATTCTTTGAAGTTCAGTAGAGCCATATTAAGTATGGCACCACCAGTGGTGGCACCACTCACATTAGAGCAAGGAGAAGGTCCAGAGATAAGAGAGGGAACAACTAGCCAGGCACCACTAGAGGAGTTTGTGATCACCAGTGGGGAGGTGAGGAAACAGTTGCTAGACTTGGTTGTGACAAAGGCTATAGGCCTGGATGGACTCTCACCATGGATACTAAAGGTAGGAGCAGAAGCACTGTGCCTGCCACTCTCCACAGTGTATAACAAATCACTGGTAACAGGTGAACTACCAAAAATTTGGAAGACGGCTAATGAAGTCCCGATATACTAGAAGGGGAAAAGACAGGAGGCACTGAACTACAGGCTAGTGTCCCTAACTTGCATTGCATGCAAGATGATGGAGAAAATTGTGCAAAAAAAGCTAGTGGAACATCTGGTACACAAGAACTTTGTAACACAACATTAGCATGGGTTTAGGGATTGCAAATCATACCTCAGATGATTAACTGAATTCTACGACCAGGCAACAAAAATCAGGCAAGAAAGAGAGGGGTGGGCAGACTTCATTTTTTGGATTGCTAGAAAGCCTTTGACACAGTATCACATAAGATACTAGTGCACAAGCTGGAGATGCAGGCAGGAGTGAAAGGGAAGGTACTCCATTGGATAAGAGAGTACCTAAGCAACAAAAGATAGTGAGTCACTGTGAAGGGTGAGATCTTAGAGTGGCGAGACGTCACAAGTGGAGTTCCAGAGGGATCAGTCCTTGGACCTATACTATTTCTGATATATGTAAATGATCTCCCAGAGGGAATAGACTCGTTCCTCTCAATGTTGGCTGATGATGTAAAAATTATAAGGAGGATCAAGACAGAGGAAGATAGTATAAGGCTACAAGGTGACCTAGACAAACTGAAGGAATGGTCCAACAAATGGCTAATAATGTTCAGCGTATGTAAATGTAAGGTAATGAAAATAGGCGGAGGAGAGAGGTGGCCAGGTACAGGATACAGAATGGGAGAGGAAGTCCTTCACAAAACAGACAGAGAAAAAGATCTAGGAGTTGATATCACACCAAACCTGTCTCCTGAAGCCCACATAAAAAGAATAACATCGGCGGCATATGGGAGGCTGGTTAACGTCAGAACTGCCTTCAGAAACCTGTGTAAAGAATCCCTCAGAACCTTGTATACCACGATATGTGACCACAGAACAATCCAAAAAGCGTACTAGAGCGTCCCCGTGACCCTTTACGTCTTAGAAATAAGAGAAGCGGGAGGTGTCAATATGTTAGTCCCTAGTCCAAGCAAGCATCCTAAATTAATTCTTTTTAAAAACCCCATTGGCACCCCTATTTATGCCAGGGACGTCCCAGGTTAGCGTCCTACCGGCGCTGGCGGCCCAGAGGAGCGGCTGGCGTCCGTCGTGGTCGGTGACGGAGACGTCGACGCCTCGCTGAAGCAGCTTGCGGAGGACCATCAGCCCCACCCGCACGTCGTTGCCCATCTCACTGTTGGGGCCACACATCTGCGGGCGCACGCCACGGACCGGCAGAAATGGACTCATAAGTGCACCTCACTAGGGAAATGGAGTCATACCAGCCTCACCTTTGTGCCTAAACCTATATGTAAACATTGCACTGAATTATCCTTCTGATACTTAAGTTTTTATTAACAAAATAGTTCCTACCAAAAGAATTAACAAGTGAATATAAAAAGATACTAAAGTATTATCAATATGAAGGTGGGTCCATAGGATAATCAAAACCCAGCCTAATATTATCTAGGTCTAATTTAGCAAAAGATAGGCCCATTATAGCCTGGCATAGGTCAGGAGTACATACCTCATTATTGTAGGGGGGGAGTTACAGGACAGGGGTCGGGCCGCGTTCTCTCTATAAGTGATTTAATTATGAGAATAAAGCGATAAAGGATATGAGAACCAGGAGCTGGGATATGAGGACCAAAAGCTGGGATATGAGAACCAGGAGCTGGGATATGAGGACCAGGAGCTGGGATATGAGGACCAGGAGCTGGGATATGAGGACCAGGAGCTGGGATATGAGGACCAGGAGCTGGGATATGAGGACCAGGAGCTGGGATATGAGGACCAGGAGCTGGGATATGAGGACCAGGAGCTGGGATATGAGGACCAGGAGCTGGGATATGAGGACCAGGAGCTGGGATATGAGGACCAGGAGCTGGGATATGAGGACCAGGAGCTGGGATATGAGGACCAGGAGCTGGGATATGAGGACCAGGAGCTGGGATATGAGGACCAGGAGCTGGGATATGAGGAACAGGAGCTGGGATATGAGGACCAGGAGCTGGGATATGAGGACCAGGAGCTGGGATATGAGGACCAGGAGCTGGGATATGAGGACCAGGAGCTGGGATATGAGGACCAGGAGCTGGGATATGAGGACCAGGAGCTGGGATATGAGGACCAGGAGCTGGGATATGAGGACCAGGAGCTGGGATATGAGGACCAGGAGCTGGGATATGAGGACCAGGAGCTGGGATATGAGGACCAGGAGCTGGGATATGAGGACCAGGAGCTGGGATATGAGGACCAGGAGCTGGGATATGAGGAACAGGAGCTGGGATATGAGGAACAGGAGCTGGGATATGAGGACCAGGGGTTGGGATATGAGGACCAGGAGCTGGGATATGAGGACCAGGAGCTGGGATATGAGGACCAGGAGCTGGGATATGAGGACCAGGAGCTGAGATATGAGGACCAGGAGCTGGGATATGAGGACCAGGAGCTGGGATATGAGGACCAGGAGCTGGGATATGAGGATAGTGAAGAAACGGTGCACAACCACTTGGACCTTCGGGGATCAAACGACCCTACAAGAAGCAAGGCCGTCATTCTACCGACCATTCTAAGAGGATTGGTTAACTTGAGCAGCACACTGCAGGGGGCAGTAACTCACCTGGGCAGCATGGTAGAGGGGCAGTAACTCACCTGGGCAGCAGGGTAGAGGGGGCAGTAACTCACCTGGGCAGCAGGGTAGAGGGGCAGTAACTCACCTGGGCAGCAGGGTAGAGGGGCAGTAACTCACCTAGGCAGCAGGGTAGAGGGGCAGTAACTCACCTGGGCAGCAGGGTAGAGAGGCAGTAACTCACCTGGGCAGCAGGTAGAGGGGCAGTAACTCACCTGGGTAGCAGGTAGAGGGACAGAAACTCACCTGGGCAGCAGGGTAGAGAGGCAGTAACTCACCTGGGCAGCAGGGTAGAGGGGCAGTAACTCACCTGGGCAGCGGGGCAGTAACTCACCTGGGCAGCAGGGTAGAGGGGCAGTAACTCACCTGGGCAGCAGGGTAGAGGGGGCAGTAGCTCACCTGGACAGCAGGGTAGAGAGGCAGTAACTCACCTGGGCAGCAGGGTAGAGGGACAGTAACTCACCTGGGCAGCGGGGCAGTAACTCACCTGGGCAGCAGGGTAGAGGGGCAGTAACTCACCTGGGCAGCAGGGTAGAGGGACAGTAACTCACCTGGGCAGCGGGGCAGTAACTCACCTGGGCAGCGGGGCAGTAACTCACCTGGGCAGCGGGGCAGTAACTCACCTGGGCAGCAGGTAGAGGGGGGCAGTAACTCACCTGGGCAGCGTAGTGAAGGGGGTAGGCTCCGTGGATGTCAGGGGTGCTGGGGTCTCCTCCGGCGTCGATCAGGAGGTCGAGGATGTCAACCTCGCCACACACTGTGGGTGGAGCACAGGGTCATACGGCTGTATGGTTGTATGTGTATTTTATCAAGCGTGTAATTTATTCATGAACCTCGCACGAACTATGTTGTTTTATAAATGATATGTGATATTAGTATATTATATATAACTCTCCAGACACAAAGCAGAATGCTTTAAAAGAGACCAACGTCGTCTATGCCTTCAAATGCCCTCTTGGGGACTGTAAGCTCCAAAAAAAACAGTATATAGGCAAGACAACAACATCTCTTTCTAGGCGTTTAACGATGCATAAGCAACAGGGCTCCATTTAGGAACATATAATCTCACAAGTTTACAAACGTCATATATGAAGTGGTTTTTCCCTGACCAGAAGCGAATGATCTGAGGCAACCTCCTGATCCATATACGACCCTCATTAGCTCATTAGTCTGAGAAAGAGTAAATATTGCGGTATTTTTAATTTCACTAAAGCACCAGAATTCTGACGTAGTGATCGATAGCGTGAGGATTGTGGTGCATTATGTGTGAGACGAAGTCGTGGGCAGCTTGTACAAACTTGCAGGATGGATTTTACTCACAACACAAACGTCTAAAAGCAGTGCCACATCGGTTATCGAACTGTGGTTCAGAGAAGAGCAGCGAGCACTGCTGGCCAGGTGCTGGCCCCGCGGGGGTGAAGGAGGAGGGGGTTCTGGCCCCCGGACTATTTTTAAACATTGACTGATTATGTAAATAGTTATTGGGAACGTTTGCAACATGATGAGGAACGTGATCAAACACATTTACAAGAGCGTGATGACAACATTAATAGGAACGTGATAACAATGAAACTCTTCATAAGTGACTGGGAACACAGCACTGCGGGCCGGCAGCACTGCTGGCCGGCAGCACTGCCAGGAACTACTCCCACACATGATGTGCAAAACAAAGTTTGCTAAATTGTCACTAATGGCAGACATCAATCATGGACAAATTGACTGGGGCTGAGTGGACCCCAAGAGGAAGGAGAGAGACATGGAGAGTGAAGGTGGTACACGTAGCAGAGAGGAACCTGTTAACGCACCAGGCTAGGAAGACAACCTGTTAACGCACCAGGCTAGGAAGACAACCTGTTAACGCACCAGGCTAGGAAGACAACCTGTTAACGCACCAGGCTAGGAAGACAACCTGTTAACACACCAGGCTAGGAAGACAACATGTTAACGCACCAGGCTAGGAAGACAACCTGTTAACACACCAGGCTAGAAAGACAACCTGTTAACGCACCAGGCTAGGAAGACAACCTGTTAACACACCAGGCTAGAAAGACAACCTGTTAACGCACCAGGCTAGGAAGACAGCCTGTTAACGCACCAGGCTAGGAAGACAACCTGTTAACACACCAGGCTAGAAAGACAACCTGTTAACGCACCAGGCTAGGAAGACAACCTGTTAACGCACCAGGCTAGGAAGACAACCTGTTAACGCACCAGGCTAGGAAGACAACCTGTTAACGCACCAGGCTAGGAAGACAACCTGTTAACGCACCAGGCTAGGAAGACAACCTGTTAACGCACCAGGCTAGGAAGACAACCTGTTAACGCACCAGGCTAGGAAGACAACCTGTTAACGCACCAGGCTAGGAAGACAACCTGTTAACGCACCAGGCTAGGAAGACAACCTGTTAACGCACCAGGCTAGGAAGACAACCTGTTAACGCACCAGGCTAGGAAGACAACCTGTTAACGCACCAGGCTAGGAAGACAACCTGTTAACGCACCAGGCTAGGAAGACAACACAGAGAAGAAGGAAAGACGAGCCAGGAAGACTACACATGATCTTCACACAGTGCGAGACACACATGACAATGCAAGGAAGTTAAAAGTAGAATTATAACGCACGTAAATGATCGAGAATCCAGAAGATAAAATTTTCATAGTTTGGCAGTCAATGGTTGGAGGTAGGAAAGTGACGCGTGGGGAGGCGGTCCACGGAGAGCACAGAACACCGCTGAACCACAACATGTACACACAAGACACAAGATGTCGTAGACAGCAGAGTACCATGAAAAACATGAAGCGCCTCAAGGCCAAGGATCAGTCTAAACTACACTATATATCCACATTAAGAGGAAGATGTTAGTAAATCATCAGTCCCCGTGGTGTAGTGGTAAGACGCTCGCCTGGCGTTTCGCGAGCGCTTTGTCCTGGGTTCGTATCCTGGCCGGGGAGGATTTACTGGGCGCAATTCCTTAACTGTAGTCTCTGTTCACCCAACAGTAAAATGGGTACATGCTTGTTAAACGATTTGGCGGGTCGTATTCCAGGGAACATAGGATTAAGGACCTGAAATGCTACGCGTGCTGGTGGCTGTACAACAATGTAAGAACTCTTGCATAAATAAATAAAAATAAAATAAATAAATAACTGGGCATGTGATCAGACTACATAAGAGTGTCACACAGAGAACGATAAGGTGTGTAAAGCGCGCATTAAAAGCTATGTGGACAATATCACCCTGGAAGCAGACCTGTCCCGAGCTTCTAATGTAACAGACAGTATCAGAAGACACACTGCCCGAAGTCAAGGTGACTCCACAAAAATTAAGGACCAACATGTGGAGCCGGATATGGTGAAGGACCAACTTGTGGAGCCGGATGTGGTGAAGGACCAACTCGGGAAGCCGGATGTGGTGAAGGACCAACTTGTGGAGCCGGATGTGGTGAAGGACCAACTCGGGAAGCCGGATGTGGTGAAGGACCAACTTGTGGAGCCGGATGTGGTGAAGGACCAACTTGTGGAGCCGGATGTGGTGAAGGACCAACATGTGGAGCCGGATGTGGTGAAGGACCAACTCGGGAAGCCGGATGTGGTGAAGGACCAACTTGTGGAGCCGGATGTGGTGAAGGACCAACTTGTGGAGCCGGATGTGGTGAAGGACCAACATGTGGAGCCGGATATGGTGAAGGACCAACTTGTGGAGCCGGATGTGGTGAAGGACCAACTCGGGAAGCCGGATGTGGTGAAGGACCAACTCGGGAAGCCGGATGTGGTGAAGGACCAACTCGGGAAGCCGGATGTGGTGAAGGACCAACTCGGGAAGCCGGATGTGGTGAAGGACCAACTCGGGAAGCCGGATGTGGTGAAGGACCAACTCGGGAAGCCGGATGTGGTGAAGGACCAACTCGGGAAGCCGGATGTGGTGAAGGACCAACTCGGGAAGCCGGATGTGGTGAAGGACCAACTCGGGAAGCCGGATGTGGTGAAGGACCAACTCGGGAAGCCGGATGTGGTGAAGGACCAACTTGTGGAGCCGGATGTGGTGAAGGACCAACTTGGGAAGCCGGATGTGGTGAAGGACCAACTCGGGAAGCCGGATGTGGTGAAGGACCAACTCGGAAAGCCGGATGTGGTGAAGGACCAACTCGGGAAGCCGGATGTGGTGAAGGACCAACTCGGGAAGCCGGATGTGGTGAAGGACCAACTCGGGAAGCCGGATGTGGTGAAGGACCAACTTGGGAAGCCGGATGTGGTGAAGGACCAACTCGGGAAGCCGGATGTGGTGAAGGACCAACTCGGGAAGCCGGATGTGGTGAAGGACCAACTCGGGAAGCCGGATGTGGTGAAGGACCAACTTGTGGAGCCGGATGTGGTGAAGGACCAACTTGGGAAGCCGGATGTGGTGAAGGACCAACTCGGGAAGCCGGATGTGGTGAAGGACCAACTCGGAAAGCCGGATGTGGTGAAGGACCAACTCGGGAAGCCGGATGTGGTGAAGGACCAACTCGGGAAGCCGGATGTGGTGAAGGACCAACTTGTGGAGCCGGATGTGGTGAAGGACCAACTTGGGAAGCCGGATGTGGTGAAGGACCAACTCGGGAAGCCGGATGTGGTGAAGGACCAACTTGTGGAGCCGGATGTGGTGAAGGACCAACTTGGGAAGCCGGATGTGGTGAAGGACCAACTCGGGAAGCCGGATGTGGTGAAGGACCAACTTGTGGAGCCGGATGTGGTGAAGGACCAACTTGGGAAGCCGGATGTGGTGAAGGACCAACTCGGGAAGCCGGATGTGGTGAAGGACCAACTCGGAAAGCCGGATGTGGTGAAGGACCAACTCGGGAAGCCGGATGTGGTGAAGGACCAACTCGGGAAGCCGGATGTGGTGAAGGACCAACTTGTGGAGCCGGATGTGGTGACAACTACAGACCCAATCAAGAACTCATCATGATTTCTAGAGGCTCCTGTAGAATTGGGTGACCTTTTGGTATAGTATTGATCTCACAGGAACTGGGGGTGCTATACCTGTTATCTTTAACACAGCTAACGTGGTGCCTATATATACACCTGAAGACGGGAAGTATTTACCCACAAACTGATATCAGTAACAAGGACCTCATGTGAGATATTTGAGAGTGACCAGAAAGAGGAATTTTTAAAACAGAACACAAGAATGTCGTCTCCATGCAACAGTATGGATTCATTAAAGGAAAATCCAGCTTGACTAACTTATTCGTTCTACGACGTGTCAACAATTAAACAGGAGAGAGCGCGGGACAGACTTCACTATCCTGGATTGTCAGAAAGCTTTTGACACTGTTCCTCACAAGCGACTTGTATAGAAACTAGAGAAGCAGGTTAGGATAGACTTAGCAAACTAGTACGAAAGACGTTAAGCGTTATATACATGTTATATGAGATAAATTTTTGAGTATACTTCCCCGGCATGGAATCCCCTACCTAAGAAACAAAACAAATCTATATAAATAAAAATGGAAATGTTCGTTTGTTCAAAATCGCTAATCTCTGAAAGTTCTTCACCGATTGCTTTGAAATGTTCACACAATGTTCCATTCGCATCCGAGAAGGTTTTTATATACATACTATATGGATGTCACGTCTGTGACGGTATTAAAAAAACATGCTTTTCCTGAAAAACTGTGTTTTTCATGTGAGGGAAATCTTGAAACCTCTTTACCGATTGCTTTGAATTTTTGACACAACGTTGCATTCGCATAGGCGCGTTTTTTTATATATCTACTATATACATGCCTCAACTATGACAGGAAAACATGTTTTTTTTTGAAAAACATCGCCATCTGTTGAATGTAAGGGGCAACACACGCTGTAATCTCCCAAAGCTCTTCACCAATTGCTTTGAAATTTTGACACAACGTTGCATTCGAATAGGCGCGTCTTTTTTTATACCTACTATATAGATGCCACCCTGTGACAGGTAAAAATATGCGTTTTTGAAAAACAGTGCCATCTGTTGCACATAATGGCAATATGCACGCTATACTAAATATGTCACGAATTCCATTTCAATGTTTCTGATTGCATTGATAAATTGAATTTTCATAGATTTTTATTTATTTTCATTTTGATTTAATTATTTTGAATTGCAAATTGGAATTGAGCTGTGTTGTTTACCATACCATTCATTTCGTGAGAATCGTTTATTTTTTATATTTTTTCGTATTTTCATTTCATTTTTAAATGTTTTTCTTATATTTCAGTGATGGGAACATCAGATCACTTGATGTTCCCAATTTTCTGATGGGAACATCAGACCATTTGGGAAGGCATCGGACGAGGGAGTGGGGAATGGTCGGGAGGACGAGGGGACGGAAGTGAGAGATGGTGGGGAGGACGAGGGGACGGAAGTGAGAGATGGTGGGGAGGACGAGGGGATCAATTCAAGACGAAACTGTGTTTAAAAAAAGGAATAGTAGAACGAGT